CCTCACAAGGGCATTCTGGGAATCAAATGAGATCATGTACACGAAAGCTGTGCTAATATACAAGTCTCTCCTCTGGTTATTTGCTAAAGCTACGATTGACGTGTTGCTCTATGAATGTGCCCACAATCTTCAACATGGTGCCTGCTGCACCCAGTGCCCCTCCTAAGGGAAACTGACCCCGCAAACGCAGCTCCTTCTCACGGACAACCCCGGGCTGCTGCGCACCAGACTATGTCCCTGCTTCCCCATCTTTCCACTTCACCGCCAACGGACCGGGCTGGGCACCTTCCCAATCAGTAGGCTGCCCAGTGGCTAGGACAAAACACTCTGCCCAGATAGAGGCAAGCCAGGTCGTTCTGATTCTTGCCCTTGGAACGGTCTACTAGGAAACAGAGAGTTAGGACAAACCCAACACAGAATGCAGTCGGGGCCATGAAGGGCCTGAGAAGCTGAAGTTACAAGTAAGCTGAAACTGGGAGGTAGCAGAAATCCCACATACCCTGCAGCAATGAGGTAGGAAAATGTCAGGGAGGATGTCTGTGAGAAATGAGAGAATACAGAGCAGCAGAAACACCAGAACCAGCTGGGCTGTCACCTTGACAAAGTACATGAAGGTGTACCAGCTCTGGCTGCTGAATCCAGCACAGTCCCCAGTCACCCAAGTCCTTGTCCTGTCTCCGCTGTTCTCCCATGTGGCCTTACTATAATGTCCCTTTCTCTGTGCTCGGCGGAGGAAGTGGGGGCTCCTTCCATGCTGCCAGATGTGCCAACCCAACCCAAGGCTCATGAGACCTACCTCCCCAGCTTCCTGCCGAGGCCCCTAAAGGGCAGGTGTGTGGGGATTCCACCTTGGGACAGGGGAAATGAGAATCCTAAAGTCCATTTTGCATTAGATTATATTACTTCGCTTAATGAATAAATGCAGTTTTGTAGAGGTCCACCACCTAGGGAAGGGGCAGGGTGGAGGAGGGCAAAGAGCGGAAATGGAGAGGCAAATGAATAATGATTATCAGGCAAGACTGCTCATGCAGGTCCTTCCCTCTTGCCCAAATCCCACCCACCCTTCATGTCGCCTCATCCAACAAACTTTCCCTAGCTGCTCCAACCAAATCAGAACTGATCTTCTTGACTAAGATGTCAGATTGCCTTTTGGACCTCAACTCTTCATAATGTCTCATAGTCACGCTTTTTGACCTAGGTTCTTGCAATTCCTCCCACTAAAGGAGCAGAGTACTTTTCACTATCCTCTGACTTTGGCTTTGGCCATACAAACATCTGGTATTGTTGGCCAAAAGTGATGGCATGTCAGTTCCAAGACCTCTTGTGCTACTTCCATTGTAATGAAAAAAGCATGCTCAGGCTAGCCCACTGTTCCCAAGAAGAGGACAAGGGACATGTGGAACAAAGCTGCCTTGGCCAAGCCCGATAGGTGAGCCCAGCCAAGCTCAGCCAACTCTTAGCTGTCCCAGCTAAATAAATGCATATTGCTGTATGCCACTGAGATCTTATTGTTGTTTGATAAGCAGCTGCCATACCTATCCACAGCACTTACAGTACATTTCTATACGTGGGGATTAGAACAGCAGCTCATTATTTCTTTGTTTCTTTGAGCAGGTTAAAATTGCCAGATTTAGTGACTAAAAATACAGGCTCCAGTTACATTTGAATTTCAGATAAACAATGAATAATTTTGGTATGAGTGTGTCCCGTGAAATTTTTAGAATGTATGCATACTAAAAATTATTTATCTAAAATTCACATTTCATTGGACATCTTATATTTATCTGGCACATACTCCTAGTGCATGAGACAGGATTAACATCTTACACAATAGTGGTGAGACAGTTCCCATGATCACCATCATAGTGCTGGGAGAGAAAAGTCGTGGTTCAGATAAAGATTTTCAAGAAGGTAGATCTCGAGCACTTTATTCTCTCCAGTGATAAACCCACCCCTTATAATAATGATATGCTGTTTGGCATTCACTTAGCCCCTGCATAGGCAGGTCGTGGGCAAATACACATCTTATTCTTATATCAGTGTTGTGATGCAGGGGAGTAGCTACTCTCTCTGAGTAGCTACTAGAGAGAGTAGCAAAGCTAGAATCCGAAAGCAGCCCTTTCTCTTTCCATAATACAACCCTGCCTCCAACTACCGAAATCTTTGATGTCATTTCCACAAAGCTGAAGACAGCAAAGTGCATTCCCCAGCCTCCTAATCTCTTTGCTGGTCCCCCGCAATCCATTCTATGAATAACGGGTTATATGAATTCACTACAGCTGTCGTAACCAAGTACCACAGACTAGGTGACTTCAACAACAGAAATTATGTTCTCAAGTTCTGGAGGTTAGGCATCCAAGGCGTCAGCAGGATCAGGTCCTCCCGAAGGCTGTGAGGGAAGAATCTGTCACGGCCTGTGGTGGTTAATGTGTCAGTTTGACTGGGCCATGGAATGTCTGAAATCTGGTGAAGCATTATTTCTGGGTGTGTCTGTGGGGGTGTTTCTGGAAGAAATTAGCATTTGAATTGGTGGGCTGAGTAAAGCAGATTGTCCTACACCGTGTGGATGGCCATCATCTAACTCTGAGGGCTCACGGGGAAGGGGGGGGGGGAATGCTTTTTTATGCTCTTGAGGTCCTCACTAAGTTCCTTGAAGTTTTCACGAAGTTTCTTGAAAGTCCCACTAAATTCCTTGAGCATCCAAAAGGACCAGTCAGAAATGAAGGATGCACTAACTGAAATAAAGAATGATTTACAGGGAATCAATAGTAGAGTACGTGAAGCCAAGAAGCAAACCATTGATTTGGAATATAAGGAAGCAAAAAAACAAACAAACACCCAATCAGAACAGCAGAAAGAGAGAAGAATTTTTTAAAATGAGGATAGTGTAAGGAGTCACTGGGACAACTTCAAGCATAACAACATACACATCTTGGGGGTGCCAGAAGGAGAAGATGGAGAGCAAGAAATTGAAAACCTATTTGAAAAAATGACAGAAAACTTCCCTAACTTGGTGAGGGAAATAGACATACAAGTCCAGGAAGCAGAGAGTCCCAAACAAGATTAACCCAAAGAGGTCCACACCAAGACACATCATCATTAAAATGCGAAAGGTTAAAGACAGAGAGAATCTTAAAAGCAACAAGAGCCCTGGCCGGTTTGGCTCAGCGGTTGGAGCGTCCACTTGCGGTCCAGAGAGACCCGGGTTCGGTTCCCGCTAAGGGCATGTACCTCGGTTGCAGTTTGTCCCCGGCCCTGGTTGGTCGCGCGGGTGGCAGCCACTCGATGTGTCTCTTTCACATCGATGTTTCCCTCTCTCTCTCTTCCTCTCTCTCCCTCCCACTCTAACTGTACAAAAAATGGAAAAATGTCCTCAGGTGAGGATAAAAAAATAAATAAATAAATAAAATAAAAGCAACAAGAGAAAAGCAGTTAGTTATCTACAAGGGAGCTCCCATAAGGCTGTCAGTCGATTTCTCAAAAGAAACTGCAGGCCAGAAGGGAGTGGCAAGAAATATTCAAAGTGATGAAAAGCAACGATCTACAACCAAGATTACTCTATCTTGCAAAGCTATCATTTAGAATCAACGGCCATGTAGTTTCCCAGACAAGAAAAAGCTAAAGAAGTTCATTACCACCAAAAGAGTGTTATATGAAATGTTGTCGGGTCTTCTAGAAAAAGGAGAAGAAAAATATGAACAATAAAATGTCAATAAATACGTATTTATTAACAATTGAATCTATAAACAAAATGTATAAAGAGAACAGAAACAGACTTATAGACACAGAGAACTATTTTTGGTTGCCAGATGGGGACGTTGAGGGGTTGGGTGAAAAAGGTGAAGGAATTAAGAAGTACAAATTGGTTGTCAGACTGATGAACTTCAAAGGGAAGGGATGGGAACGGGATGAGATAAACCAAAGAACTTATGCATAGATGCATAACCAATAGACACAGACAACAGTGTGGGGAAGGCAGGAGGGGGGCAGGAGTGGGGAGGAGGGGGTCAATGGATGAAAAAAGGAGGAACATCTGTAATACATCCAACAATAAAGATAAGTTTAAGAAGAAAGAAAAGAAAGGTAGAGATCTACGGGAAAACAAACAAACAAAAAACAAAAGCAGTGGAGGAAAGCTGGATTGGTTCTCTCTGCCTAACTGCTTGAGCTAAATATTGGTCTGCTCCTGGCCTTGGACTGAGACTTATCCCAGCAGCACTCCTGGTTATTAGGCCTTTGGACTCAGATTGGCTTTCCCGGGTCTCCCACTTATAGATGGCAGAACGTGCCCTTTCTCAGCCTCCAGAATCATGTGAGCTAATTCCTTATAATAAAGCGTATATGTAACACATACACACATGTCTATCTATCCTACTGGTTCTGTTTCTCTGGAGAACCCTGACTCCTACAAAGCCTCTCTTCTTGGTTTGCAGATGGCTGTCCTCTCTCCCTTATCTTCACGTCATTCTCCTCTGTGCATGTCTGTGTCCAGGTTCCCTCTTCTTATGAGGACTCCAGTCATACCGGATTAGAACCTGCCTTAATGACCTTATTTTAACTTAATCGCCTCTGTAAAGACCCTATCTCCAAAGAAGGTCACATTCTAAGGTACTGAAGTTAAGACTTCAATATATGAGTTTAGGGGTGGGGGCACAATTCAGCCCATAACAGGATTTGTGGAGTTATGACTCATCTACATACAGTCTGTGTTTAAAAGAGGACCTCAGGGGAGTAGATTTCAAATGATGAAATTCTGGATTTCAAGTGCTGTGATTCTTGTTGTCCCTAGGGGAGGCTAAAGCCCATCCTGCAGTTCTTAATAACAGGACCTCAAAGGTGTTACACCCTCTGCCAAAGGGACCCTAGCAACTGGTAGAATGTGGGTTATTATGAGGACAGGGGATTGTGATGGTGGCCAGGCTATGGAATCTGGTGAGGCCAAATGTTAGTCCCTCAAAAGATGTCCTTTGGCCCCAGTTGGCAGCATTTTGGTTTTCAGGATGACAACAGAGAACAGGGAGATCATGGAAGCCCGGGGGGCAGGAGAAAGCTGCCCGACCGTCCCCAAGATAGTGCCTGATGACCCCATGTCTGAAGGGAAGTCCAGGGCTGCTTTGGTAAGGGGGTGCCTCATCTCACTGCCCCAGCCTGGCACCCCAGGGGGAGGGAGAGGGCTGTGGAGACATGTGGTAGGAGCTGAGCGCTGGGGGACTCCAGAGGCTGCTAAGAAGAGCAGGTGATGTGCACCCCATCCTCACAGCTGCGTCCAGCTATACCCAGGGGCCAGGGGCCAGGAGCCCTGCGTGAGACTGTGAAGCCACCTGAAGCTGACTTAGGTCTTTCCCATCTATGTCCCCATTTGGGACTCTTTCCTCTCTCTGTGTATGGAATCCAGCTCTTCCATAGCCCTTTTGTTGGTTCCCATGTATTTAGCTTCTCTCAACAGAGACCCTGGGTTTTCTTCCTCCCACAGTAGCCCCCAGAGGACGGGGTGCCTAGCTATTCTCAAAGGTAGGTGGAGTCGGGGGTAGGGAAGTTATCTCCATGGTGATGTGAAAATCACCAGGAAGAGAGCCTTCTGCCCCAACTCCCCAACTCCTCAACGCCTCCTCGTTCAGCTTTCGGGCTTCCTTCCTGTCTGTCTGCTTGCTCTCTCCTTCTTCTTAACTCAGGTCCTGACAGCTCCGTGTGAGAGCATTTCCAGTAAGAACTCAGCCAGATCTTTACAACTCAGAGCAAGCGCTCTTTCAAACACTGCAGTTCATTGTGGCCTGGGGCTCAGGAGTGCCCTGGGGTGGGCTGGGGGGCAGCCCCATACTGATTCCTCACCACCCCTGGTCCTTCCTCTTCCCCACCTCAGGAGGCAGAGTGCCCTAAACCAGACTCTTCCTACAACAACCTGGAGGAGACAGCAACTCGTGAAGACAGAGGCTGCTCAGGGTCTCCTAAGTTGCTGTCCCCCAAGGCTGGCCCCACCACCAAGGGCCAGGCGGGTGATGGACCTGAACTCGCAGAGAGGCTCCTGGCCCCAGGGACCCCAGGAACCCCAGGAACCGAGCGCGTTGCTGAGATGGAGCTGGAGAAGGCACGCATGGAGTTTGAGCTCACGCGCCTCAAGTACCTGCACCAGGAGAATGAGCGGCAGCGGCAGCACGAGGAGGTGATGGAGCAGCTGCAGCAGCAGGCGGCGCCCCGCCTGGTAGGTGACGTGAAAGGGGGGAGTCCACAGGTTTTGCCTGAAGGCCAGGGGCTGACTCCAGGGTGAGGGGGCTTCGTCCCTGAAGCCCACCCTAGCTGCTGTACTGCTGCCTCCTGCCCCAGGTCCAGGGCGGGGCGCTCGCTGCTTTAGAGCCTTCATGCTAAGCTGAGAATTGACCCCGGAAGGGGCCCCACCTTGTCCACCCACTTGCCCCTGGCTTTCCTTCTCAGGGGAAAGTCTTCAACATTTCCTCCATGACTGGATTTCCACCACTCTCCATTCCTCTCTTCATCTCTTTTAAGATGAAGATCCAGAACCCCCACAGCAGTCTGGCCAGAGGACTTTAATAAAACCATCACCTCCCCTGATTAGGGCTGCATTTGCTCTGTCGGATCACTCTGCCTTGTTGTCAACTAAAGCTTGGACATCTTTGGCAAGAAATGGACCATTCCCCTCTAATCTGTACTAAGTAGGAATGAGAACACCTACTTGCGATTAAATGGGATGTAAAGTGCTTAGCACTATGACGGGGCCATCACTAGCACTAAATAATGAAAGCTGTTATTGTTTAAAGCAGTGTCCTCTGGGCTTTAAAATCAGACAGTTAAAATTCTGGCTCTACCACGTATAAACCACGTGACATTGGGCAAGTTACTAATCGTCTTGGAGCCTGGGTTTGCTCATCCATAAGGTAGTACCTACCTCATAGGGTCATTGTGAGGATTAAATGAGGGAATGCATGTAAGGCACAATGCAGTGAGCCTGGCACATTAGGTAAGCACTCAATAAATGTTAGCTATTACCATTTTTATGTACTCATGCAATTCACTTCTTGACCCAAATGCAACAGCTCACGTTCATCGTTTTTCAATTTTATTGGAATATAATGTATGAGCTATGCTTCCCAGCTCTGACTCATCCTCAGTTCTCAGAAACTTGTCTTCTGTCTTCATCCAAGTCATTGCTATAACTGTTAGGGGAGGGTATGACCTAAAGGGAATACCACTAAAAGATCTCCCTACAGGTTCCATTAATCTCCACCCTTGTGTTACGTTTTATCCAGCTCACATTTCTCTACTTTGTCCAAAAAACTATCTTGAGACACACGGTCAAATGGTTTCCTGGAATTAAGATATTACACTACCTATAGCGTGTCCCCAATTTTTTTTTTTTTTTAAGAAAATGGGTTTGGTTTTGCATGATTTGTTCTCAAAGAATACATGCTGGCTTCTTAGCAATTATCTTTTTTTTTTTCTTACAAAATACCTCCTTAATTGTACACTAAATGCTTTTGCTAAGCCAAGTCAAGCTAATTGAATGAGGATTTTCAGAATCTCAACACCCCTCCCCACCCTGTTTTGTTTTGTTTTGTTTAATCTAGAAAATATTTGCCTGTCTCTAAGATTCTGGCACATTTCCTGATATTTTTGACATCTCACAAATAAGTTCCATTTCCAAACTTGTGGTTTTATTCTCAGTATCCTGGGATAAAATTTGTTTTAAGTTGAAGCCTGAAACTATTGAAAGCAGGTATATATGGTACTCTGCCTTTAGTTGGTATATCCTATTAACTATATATGTATTTCCCCTTTATATATATATTTTAGAGAGGGGGGAGGGAGAGAGAAATAGAAACCTCGATGAGAGAGAACATCGATTGGCTGCCTCCTGCATGCCGCCCTTTGGAAACTGGGCCCACAACCTGGGTATGTGACTTGACCAGGAATCGAACCGGTGACCTCTTGGTGCATGGGTTGATGCTCAACCACTGAGCCACACCAGTCAGGCTTCCCCTTTTTAGTTTAAAAATCTTTCTCTTTGCTGGATGAGGTGGGAATGCTTGGTGTAGAGTTCTACCTGCTTTCTGACTTCTACTTGAAAGATAGACCATTGAAAGTGCTTTTAAAAGTTTTCACAAATGCATGTTTTGTTATCAAAATCAAAATATCACCCATTAGCATTTCAGACGGAAAACACATGCAGACTACAAAGGTGGCAGGAAGTTAGTCCGCGGACCCAGCACCAGAGGGAGTCTCCAGACAGATGTCAGATCTGCCCAGCCCGCCCAGCCCACTAGGACGCTGTTGCTCCCTCCGCTCTCCAGCCTTGCTCCTCTCTCTAGAGTGGGCACCACTAGAGTGGTCTCCTTCCCCTCCTGTGCTTTCATTGCCCTCGCAGTTTCTGTAGTGGTTCAGCAAGGCTGTGTCCAAAACCCGAGTCAGTCTCCAGGAATAGTTTGCGAAAGTGTTCTGCAGAAAGGTGGAGAGCGGACTCGATAGTTAAACTTTCCACTCTCTCGTTATCCGGGTGGATGGGTGGGTAGGTAAATTTCATTGTATTGAAAGATACCTCTGCGAGTGTGTTTCTAGCTAGTTAAGGAAATCACAGTCCCTGCCATCTGTCCGCTTACAAAAAATGTGGCACGATTTTAAAAGATATTTTAAAGAATAAACCATGGCTGGTATCTTAACTACAGATCAAAATATTGTATCAGCTTTTGCCTTACTTATATGTCGATGTTAAAATGGGCTCTGTCAAACCTCAAGTGTACAGATCCCGGAAAAGCACAGCACAGGCAGACTCAGCCAGACAACTCAAGCTGCTTTCCCCCAGCCAAGACTCTGAGGGTTTGGGGAGGCCCCTCCACCCATCTCCCATCACCTGCCCACAGGAAAGACCAAACCCCGGCTGAAGGACACAGACTGCCCCCATGTGACATGGGCCAAGACCAAGAGAGTCAGAAACTGTCACTTGGGCCCAAGAGACACCCTGTCATTGTGCTAGTGTCCAGAGAACGTGCTACTGTCCTGTGTCACGGGAAACCTCAGGGAGCATGCTGAGCGCTGGCCCCCAGGTCTGGGCTCTCGGGGACAGAGGAGACGGCCTCCCTGTGTGACTCAGGCTGAAACAGCAGAGAGGAAGGCCTGTGGCAGGAGAGCTAAGAGCAGGCTCAAGAAGTAAAGCCCGTGAGTGCCCTCTATGTGCCAGTGACCTTGCTAGAACGTTCTTATTTCTTGCCTCTCCCTCCTTGCCGTCTGCGAGGTAGGCACTGCGACCTTCCCTCAGAGGTGAGGAGGACGACCCGCCAGAGGTCACATCCAGAAAGGCACGAGAACAGGATCGCAGCCCAGCTCTGCCTGCTGCCCATGCCCTGGCTTTGCCAGCTCCACTCTCTTCTTTCCCCCACAGTTCTCGGGAGGCTTCCAGGACCTCCTGCACCCCCAGAACCAGTTTGCCATGTTCCTGTACTGCTTCATCTTTATACACATAATCTATGTCACCAAGGAGATGATCTTCTTTCTCTTCTCCAAGCACTACCTGTTCTGCATCGCGGCCATTTTGCTCTGTTTGATTAAAACTCTATGGTCATACTTCTAAGTGCCTTTGTTCTCTCCATCACTGGGACCCTCCATGCTAGAGCGTTACTGGGACATGACCCAAGTGAGCCCGAGCCGCCCTGCTCCTCCCTCCCTGGCGTCTCCTGCCCGGACAGGGTGCCTCCCTGCAATCAGAACTTGACCTTAGAAATGGCTCGCTGTCAGCCTTTTCCACCTTAGTGCGAGCGACCTGCTCAGGCCTTGCACTGAGCCTGAGTTCTCATTGGGGGTGAAGATGCTCTCTCTGCTTAGAGGACGATTTCACGAGTTAGCAGGTCAGGGAGCCATGTTTAGAAAGCCTTTCCAGAATCAGAAATCACACCACGACCCGGCTGGCTCCAGATCTGTCGCATCTACTCATTTTCATAGACCTCTGAGGGCTGGGGAGCCGTGGTAGGCTTAGGGGTAGGCCCTCCAAAGGTGTCAATGTCTCGGTCCTCAGACCTGTGGCTGTGTCACCTTACATGGCAAAGAGACTTCGAGGTGTGATCGAATGAAGGACTTTGAAATGGGCAGATGATCCTGGGTTGTCCAGGTGAGTCCTTATAAGAGGGAGACTGGAAGGTGAGGATCGAAGAGGCGGTGTGACCACAGAAGCAGAGTTGGAGTGATGTGGGTACACGAGCCAAGGGCTGCAGGCGGCCCCTAGATGCTAGGAAAGGCAAGAAAATGGGTTCGCTCCTAGAACCTTCAGAAAGAATGCAGCCCTTCCCACCCGTCTCAGACGTCTGACCTCCAGAACTGTAAGAGAGTATACTGGAGTTGCCTAAGCTGCTAAGTTTGTAGCCATGTGTTGTAGCAGCAACACTAACACAGGAAACTGATACAGGACCGAGGACTCCCCAAGCTCTTTCCAGCTCTGCAAACCTGTCGGCAGCATCAGCAGGCCGCTGGCAAGAGTCCATTTAGTACTGGGCCTGAGCAGGACTGTGCAGTCAGTCATGCAGGCTTGGAGCCTGCCCTCGGGCCACATACAGTTCAAGAAGAGATGCTGAAGCTCCAGGGAGCCCAGGACAGGCCTACCGGTTTGACGAAGGATGTCCCTATCACTGAGCAGTGCACGCCTGGGGGAGGCAGGGTAGCAAAATCTGGGCAGCATCCTGGGGAAGGAGCAATTGAAAATGGCTGAAAGGGCCCAGAGCAGGTCAGCAACTCAGCAACTGCTCTAGTGGAAAAGTGGGAGGAGCAAAAAAAAACAAAACAGGCCACACAGCTCAACCATCCAATCAGAGAGAGAGAGAGAACAGCAAATAAACAGTTGTCCACAATAGAGTTGCACACACCTCCCTCCACCCCCATAAACAGGCAACCACAACCTAAAAGGATGGACTCAACACTAGAGGGCTTGCAGGAGGCACACAATGAAGCTGCTGGGTGCGTGTGTTACAAGGAAAAGAACTTCAATTCCCCCATCGCAAGCGCCCACCCCACCCCTTCTCTATCACACACACCCCTAGCCCACTGTCAGCTGCACTGACCCCACCAGCCCGGCTCAGGAAAGATGGCTGGCCGGCTGTCTAAGGTAAAGGAAACCTCAGGGATAAAGCAGGAAACTGAATGAGACTGGACAGCTGTGCAATCAATCAAGTCTTTAGGAACCCCTCCCCTTCCCAGGCGCACGGCTCTGCCTTAACAGGGACAAAAGAGTAAGTTTCTGTCTTGGGCTCTGAGTGATGCTTGGTGAAAACACACGAAAAAAAGACGACCTCCCCAGGATTCAATGTCTGTACCTATTATCCTGCCACCTAAGTCGACGGTGGTTCTCATCTTCCGCTCAGCTCCATGCATCCACCCCGTTTATAGCTCCAGTGACAGGTTACTTGGAAGTAATAAAGCCATCATTTCTCATTAAATGCTCAGTGATAGGGTTTTTGCTATGGGTCACTTCTCACAACCATCTTATTTGATCTGAGTTTCTGGGGTGGGCAAAAGAAGGAGATCAGGATATTAAACAAACAAACAAAAAAAATGAAGGCCCAGATATTTACCGTGTTATAGCAGATGGAATTAGGAGTTTGTGAAAAATACCAAGTGCTATCAGGTCATGGAGTCCATCACCTGTTGCCAGGTAAAACTGAGCTTTAATACATCCATTTTCCTTACAAATCTTCAGAGAACGACTTAGTTAACTCTCTTCAGCAGTTCAGTTAGCACCTCGTTTCACCCCTTAGCAATGAGCATGAAATTGCCCCTCTACGCCTCCTACTGTAATTGAAGACTGGTCAGCATCCTAATATCTTTCCTCTGGGAAAATAAGAACAGCTCAGGGTTACTCCTCAAACTTGGTACAGGTCTCCCAGTTCAAGTGCGAAGCAGAAAATCATAAGGGAGAGAGACAAAGGGAGAGAGAGATTCAAAGCATAGGGAAAAGGCACAGCTGAAAGGTTACCAAGCAGGCAATAAGTCAACACATAAACACTTCTTGAGCACCTCCAGTGTGCCAGGCACTCCACTAAATGCTTTCTGATGACTATCTTCACCAAAACCCTGGGAGATAGAAATGATATCCCCTTTTCACAGATGAGGATACTGAGGCTCAGAGAGGTTACGTGACAGACCCAAATCATCTTAGATCTCAAGCCTGACTCCAAAGTACGTGATCTCTCTACACTACCATGCTCCCAAGAACCTGCCTTAGAGGGGCTCACAGCCTTGCTGGGGAGATGAGGCCAAACACGTGAAAAGGAAAAGATGCTACCAGTCAGTGGTGAAGGAGATCAAGGAAGGAGAGGTCCCTGGAGCCCAGGGAGATGGGGAGTCTTCTCAAAAGAGTAGCCCACAAGGGCAGGTAAGCTCGGGACAGGTGGAAAGGGGGAAGGAAAACTCACGTGAACTGAGTTTAGGATGGGAGTGTATAAGCTATATTCAGGAGAAAGAGAAGGCTCATCCTTGCTCCAGTGAATGGTGTAATGGGTAACAGGCCTGGAAAATTAACTTGGGGTCAAATTTATAGTCCCGAAGTTTGGTCTGAGAAATATGAACTCAATCCTTTGGGAAATACAGAATCTCTGAAAATTGTAGCATGAGATAGTGACTCCCTTCAAAACGGGAAAGCCCCCTTTCCTCCCTCTCTCAGGGGACCATGTTCTTGCCTTAAGCTTCTCTTCCCATTTCCAACGGGAACATTCTTCCTAAGGTTCTGTGTGTGAGGATTGCATTCAGCTGTAACAGAAACCCAGCCACAGTGGCTTCACAAAATGAAGGTTTATGTTTTTCACATACTAAGAAGTCCCAGGTATGGCAGTCCATGACTGATGAGACTGCTCTAGGAAGTCACAGAGGACCCAGGCTTCTTTTTGCTCTACCATCCTTAGCACACAGCTTTTATCCTCCTCACCCCCTGGCTTTCAGCCTCATGATCTCACGATGGCTGCTGCAGCTCCAGGTATCAGGTGCACAACACCAAGTCAGAAGAGGAGGGGAAAAGAAAAGGGACCACCTTTTAAAAGCTTTTCAGAAAGACCCATCTAGACACTTCTGCTCACATTTCATTGCCCAGACTGGTTATGTTGCTCCTCCTAGCTGCAGGGCATCTGAGGTGGTAAGGTTTTTATTTTCCTGGACACTGTTGCAAAATTGAACAAAATTAGGATTCTGATATGGGGGAGGGAGGGTGGATATTGAATAAGCGACTGTGTCTACCATACACTGCTATTTTAGGCCCAGCTCCCACTCCCTTCCCGGGGGTTGAGCCAGAGTCCTGGTGGAGGGACAACTGGGTGGAGCACAGCTGTAGCCAATCTGGGCCTGGCCCACTTCTGTCTTCAGGCTCATTCACATACCACAGTAGAAAGGTCATGGTTCCATGGCTGGAACAGCTCTGCCTTCATCCTCCTGACCTCTGCTTGAGGCCCCATGACCTTCCACAACTGGGGCAGCCGCCTTGCCTGGGGACTTAGAAGGGCATGCCGCACTCTGCTGGGCACCTTCAGCAGAGATGCAAGAGGAGGCAAGCTTGCCCCTAGATTCTCCCCTTCCTGAGTCCCAGATCCCACAGAATGAAGCCCAGTGCCCCAGACATCGCGACATCTAGCCTGCAGCCCACTCACCCCGAGCTGCCGAAGACAGAGCCACACACTACACTCAGCTTCCGCCCAAACGGTCAAGCACTCATAGCCAAATTTCAGGCAGGCTTAGGGAGAGATGGAAGTGTCTTTCCTGCTCCCCATCTGAATCTCATGGTTAGCAACCCAGAGCTCAAGGACAAGACTAGAGTCCTGGAGACCCTGAAGTCCACAGGAGGGAAGAGGGAGCAGGCCACTTCCAAAGACCACTTCCCTGCCGTGAGCGTTTCTAATCCCACCCTAGCAGATGGCTGCAGCACATCGATGAAGCTTTCCAAGCTTCATTTGGGTGATCTGCAAGTTATCTAGACTCTAACTCAGTTTTTAAAAATATTTTAAAGAACCAAAGCCTAGGGTTGGATTTAATGGACATGTGATGGTGTCCAGGGGTGTTGAAAGTGCCTCATTGGTTATCCCAGGCAGCCGCATCACAAAACCTAAATCCTTGCTACTCAACACGCAGTCTGAGGACCAGCCTAAACCGCATTGCCTGGGGCATCTTAGTCTGGGAAGCTCTCTGCTTTCAGTGAAGTGACTCAGTTCTACCTATGCCTTGTGAAGACATTGCAACTGGCCTCGAGGCTCTGAGGGAGGGAGGTTTCAGGTATGGAGGCAAGATGGGCAGGAGAGAGAGGAACTGAGCATGTAGCCCTGGAAGGACTGTGGGAGCCCCCGGGGGCTGCGCATACAGCCTCCCTCTGTACTCTGCCGCAGTCCTTGCTCTGGGATTCTAAGGAACCAAATTATTTTTTTCAACACTCCAGGATTCACCAGAAACTTCCGGAATCCCCCCAAGCCTGTCCCTGCTTCTGTCTTTTTTGATCCGCCTCTGATGTGTGTAGCTTTGGGAAAATCTTGCTAATATACCTTCATTTATTATTTAAAGGCTGCCACTGTTCCTTCAGGAAGGTTAAGCATGATTAAAAGATGGGATTTT